AAAAAAACGAAAAGGTATGGTAAGAAAAAAAACATTATCATTATGAGAGTTCTTTCACGATCTACCAAATAATATTCCAAGACGGGGTTTTTTTTTTTCTTAGCACATCGCTTATTCACCATATCATTTATCAAATTATTACAAAGATTACATATTCTTGCTCTTATCTTTCCTAATTAATTACTCTTTTGTTATTTAATTAACTATTATATACTTCTTTTTCTTCAACTATTTTTTCAATTCCTTCATTTCTCTTGTATTTAATATTATTTATTAATTGCAATTTTTATAACTTAATAACTTATTATTTTAATTTTTATACTTAATAATATGCTATTGTAATGTTTACTTGTAGTTTTTATACTTAATAACTGACTATTATACATTTTGTTTATGAGAAATGAAGAATTAAGTGAAATAGTTTTAATTAATTAATTAAAGATAGGAAGAATTTTAGCTTACTCTACGATACAAATATATTAGACATGCTATATGGATCAATGAAGCGCATTACTCTAATGTAAAAAGCATGAGAAGCTAATATATTGTAAAGATTAAAGATTGAAGATTAATTGGGATCAAATAGTGCGATGAAATTTGAGTAACATTTTTTTTTGCTTTTTTTTTTTTGTTGCCTTATCTATTTCAATTTAAATTTAAAATATTAACTCACTTCAATAATTTCTAATCATTCTTATATATTACTAATCTTTTTTTTTCTTGTTTTTTGAGAGGGGGAAAAAAAACGATAAACCTATGTAATTAATACAGTATTATCTATTACCTATTATTACAACTACTTGTGTTAATACTAGTAAATATTAATAATATTATTAGTAATGGTGTTAATAACGATGATAATAAATGATAATAATGATAACTAAATGATTATTACAACTACTTGTGTTAATACTAGTAAATATTAATAATATTATTAGTAATGGTGTTAATAACGATAATAATAAATGATAATAATGATAACTAAATGATTATTACAACTACTTGTGTTAATACTAGTAAATATTAATAATATTATTAGTAATGGTGTTAATAACGATGATAAT